AAAGTCCTGGTTGTCACTCCCTCCCAAGCCTTACCTATAAGGCTTATGCAATGGAGGATACTGAAGTGTTCTTTCCAAAACTCTCTTAAGGTCAAGTGAGTGTCTGAGGTCACATTAAAGCACCTTTGAAACATTGCTTTGGTGTAGAGTTTTTTAAAGTTTGAAATGACCTGCTGGTCCATGAGCTGGAGGAGAGGAGTGGTATTCAGGGGCAAGAACTTTACTGTGATGAACCCAAACTCCTGCAGAATTAGGTCATCCAAGTTTGGAGGATGAGCAGGTGCATTGTCCATTACTAGGAGGCACTTGAGATCCAATTTCTTTTCTAGGAGGTAATTCTTCACACTAGGGCCAAACACTTCATTGAACCACTCGACAAAAATTTCCCTCGTGACCCATGCCTTATTATTAGATCTCCAAAGCACACACAATTTACTCTTCGTAACATTGTTTTTTTTGAATACTCTGAGATTTTCAGAATGGTACACTAGTAACGGCTTCAATTTGAAATCCCCACTAGCATTAGCACAGAACATGAGCGTCAGCCTGCCTTTCATAGGCTTGTGTCCTGGCAGTCCCTTTTCCTCCTGAGTAATGCAGGTCCTCTTTGGCATTTTCTTCCAATACAGGCCTGTTTCATCACAAATGAACACTTGTTCAGGTTTCAGTCCTTCAGCCTAGATCTATGAATTCACTTATGAATTTTGTAGCTGCAATTTTGTCCGAACTGGCAGCCTCACCATGCCTTATCACACTGTGTATGCCACTACAGTTCTTAAATCTCTCAAACCAACCTTTGCTGGCCTTAAATTCACAAATATCAGTACTCGTTGCAGGCAATTTCTTTACTAGATCATCATGCAACTGTCTAGCCTTTTCACAAATAATCGATGTCATTAGACTATCTCCTGCTAATTGTTTCTCGTTTATCCACACCAATAATAACTTCTCAACCTCTTCCAGTACTGATCTCATTTTTGTCAGCATATTTACCCCCTTTGCAACAACAGCTTCCTTGATTTCCTTTTTCTTGGCCACGATGGAAAATATGGTTGTATGGGGTTTGTTATACATCCTGGCCAGTTCGGCCACACGTATGCCACTTTCATATTGTTCAATGATGTTTTTCTTAAATTCAATCGTATTTCTCACCTTCTTTACCAAAGGCTTGGCACTAGGAGCTTTCTTTGGAGCCATGGTAGCTTATTTAGCACTTGCAAGCACTAAAATGAAAGGAATATTATGAAATATTTCGTATGAACATGTGAGGGGACCGTCGCTCACTGGTAAACAATTGCACACTGGCTAGGAAGGGAGGCCGAGGTGGCTCAGAGCCGTGAGTACGTGTCCAAGACGAATGACGATTAGCAAGTCAACCGACCATTTGCGAGCCAATGTTTGGACTAAAATAACACGATGATTTCCAGAAAGGACGACTATCGAACCCAACTATTATCGAGGGACCACTGTACTGTGTATTTTTATATGTATATACTTCTAAACTGTTGTATTCTGAGCACCTCTGCAAAAACAGTGATTATGTGTGAGTGATGTGAAAGTGTTGAATGATGATGAAAATATTTTCTTTTTGGGGATTTTCTTTTTTTTTTGGGTCACCCTGCCACAGTGGGAGATGGCCGACTTTTTGAAAAAAAAAAATAAAAAAATAAATGTTGCATGTCTTGTTCCTTTACCTGTCACTATTGTTATTAATATAATGAATGTAAGGCATAAAAAAATTACTAAAATTTTATTAAATAAACACTAAAACTTCATTATCTTCAAGAGGTTAAAACCCAAATTCTTTTCTTTTCTGCATATGTTATTCAAATTACATATTACAAAATTACATATAGTATCAATTTCAGGAACATCACCCATGTGATTTGTGATAATTCACTGTCTCTCATTGTATTAATATAAAGTACTGTACTTTTAACGTTCATGTTTTCAGCTAACTTACTGTACTGTACTGTATTAGTTTTCCTTAGTATGTCCAGTCATGGCTGGTAGTATTATCGATGCAGAGCATCAATCAGGTACTTTTAATCCAATGAATTTTCATTTAACCCTTTCACTGCTGGTACTGTAGCACTACAGCTTATGTGTTGGTGCCATAATACTATGCCAAAATTCTAGTGGCTTCAAATCTAGTGGGAGAAAGCTGGTAGGCCTACATGTGAGAGAATGGGTCTGTGTGGTCAGTGAGCACAGTATAAAAAAATCAAGGAGCCAGTGGTGCACTGTGGGAACATCATTTCAGTAGTCCTTGTTCAGCATGCCTAGCGGTAAGAAATATGACTCCCTGGTGAATTTGGGACTCTTCCTTCCCAAGCGATAGTTCCAACATAAATGGAAGTGTCAATGAAGATGAATTTCACGGTTTTGAGGAGTTTGTGACCAAAAGCAATGCCCAGGATACCAGATACAGAGAGTGAAAAGGGAAGACAGCTTGGGTGGTGGGGAAGGCAGCATGGATGGTGGGGAAGATGGTGTGGGTGGTTGGGAAGGTGTGTAAGTTTATTCAGGTATACATGAATACAGTTATATAGATTATCATACATAGCAGCATGTGTAGAGAACCTAGGATAACCAAAAAAAATCAAAGCGACTTATTTCCAGCGTAGGTGGTAGGGAAGACAGTGTGGGTGTGGGAAAGGCTGCATAAGTGTGGGGAAGGCAGCGTGGGTGTGGGGAAGGCAGCGTGGGTGTGGGGAAGGCAGCGTGGGTGTGGGGAAGGCAGCGTAGGTGTGGGGAAGACAGAATGAGTGGTGGGGAAGGCAGTGTGGATGGTGTGGGTGGGAAAGACAGCATGGGTGGTTGAGAAAACAGCATGTAAGTTTATTCAGGTATACACAAATACAGTTACATAGATTATCATACATAGCAGCATGTGTATAGAACCTAGGAAACCCCCCAAAAAAGTCAAAGTGACTTATTTCCAGCATGGGTGGTGGGGAAAACAGTGTGGGTGGTGGGGAAGGCAGCATGGGTGGTGGGGAAGGCAGAGTGGGTGTGGGATGACAGTGTGGGTGGAGAAGGCAGTGTGGGTTAGTGTAAATAAGTTTTGTAAACAATATAATGATAACAAAGTTTGGGCAATTACTGTGTTGCATACAACGAGTGGATATATATACATTATGCATTATACTGGTCTCACAGGCCACAAAAATTACTTGAAAAAATAAAACATAAACATTAGAAAAAAAAGAAAAAATAGAATAAATGTAAAAATAATATTACCGAGTGAGCGGCAGTTACTGATGTTGCCACAAGCAGTTCACTTTCTGTCACTTTCGTGCCTCTATATCTCGGTAAGTACTGATTGCAAAATTTTTTTTTTCTTTTAAAACAGTCAGAAAAATATTCTTAAGATTCTGGTAAGAAAAAATCTTAGTTTTTTTTTTTTAAGATTTTTCAACACTGAGAGCAGGTTTGTGATCAGAGGTCTCGACAGTGAAAGGGTTAAACAGGTACCCTCTCCCCAATAGTCTGTTATACTCAGGTTGTATTGTAATAATAATTACAAAAATAATAACAAAAAGACAATATTATTATTACTATTACAGGTAAACACCAATTTTCCAGCAGCCTTGGTTCCTAGGCTTAGCTGGTATATACGTATCAATTTTTCTGGACCAACAGAGGTTATTTATATAATAATAATTCAACAACACACCTCTGACCCACCATGGTCTACTGCAAACTTAAATTAAACATTAGATTAATGAAACAAGTTTATTTATTATTGTACTTACAAAGAATGTTGCAGTACAGGTCAGTCATCACTAATCCGGCAATCAGTTATCCGGTTCCATCAATCATCCGGCACTAATTTCGGCTAGTATAATTTCAAATTTCATCATTATACTGACTCAAATTTCATCATATATGGACTCAGATATTATGCAGATGGTTGTAAATCCACAGCAGCAAGCAAGTGGAGGAGAAAGCAGTGATGAAAATGAGGAAGATGTGGCAGAGTCTCTCTATTGATAGGTTAATTAAGTGTATTCTAACCTAACCACTCTGTAATCCAGCAAATTCACTAATCCGGCACACTACAGGTCCCAATGATGCCTGATTAGTGATGGCCGACCTGTACCGCCATTCTAAAAGTGGCAAATTTTAGAATATTCCTGTTGCTGCACAGCTAACCACTAGCCATAGCTAGGATTAATTGTTATGAAAATATGCTATGAATCACACAGAATCAAAGGATCATCACTAACAAGTGAACACACATTACATACACCATCTGTGGCTGCCAAGTAAATTATTTTGACAAAAAAGTAGTCTTGTAATTTTGTCCAGACTAAAAGGATGCCAGTTTCCTTTGCTTCCTCTCCATTAACAACCATTTTAAGGAGAAACTTCTATGTACTGTAACAAAATAGACTGTATAGTAATGCACTGTAATTACATGAGCTGTGGAGTTGCTTTTGCTAAAATAATCTATAATACAGGCTACATTTTGTTAACAAAATAAAATGGATACACTATGTAAAAATTATAATACACATAAATGCAATCACTACTATTATCTTTCAATTTTAGATTTTTTTTTCTGCTGACAAGACTCACTACACTGAGCTACATCAATGAATTAATACAGAGTTATAAACTCATTGTCTTCACAGTGCAAAATATTTGTATAAATATATAAAGCATGCATATATGCAATCATCATTTCCATATTCCAACCAGGACTATAAAAACATTCGTTCATCTATGCTTAGAGAAACATACTTTATACAACACAGCATTCCATGTATAGCTATTGTATTCACAGTTTGGGCTGACCAATCTGAAATCTAAATGAATATAACCACAATACTTTTATTACCCTATGATTACAAATGATAATTACTGTACAAAATGTGTAATACAAACTACAAATATGCAACTAATCGCTAAATAAATTTCAATCAACAGGCAATGACAAATAATGATACTGATGTGATTCTTCACAAGGTGTGTTGCATGGGGGAAAGGCTTACCTGAAGTTACTGTGTTGACTTCACATGTTGAGTCTGGTTGGATCTTGGCTCGTGAGGTAAGGGGCGAGGCAGTGGCAGAGGCAGGGCCTGAGGATGAAGACACGGCTCCCACAGCGCTGCCACCCCCCGCCCCAACACTAACTCCACCTCCACCACCACCTATTGTGCCATTAGTTTTCCCTGATCTGGTAGCCTCTTTTACCTCCTGGAACTTCTCTATGAACTGTTGAGTCATGAAGTAAAAGCATCTTTCAATTTTAATTAACTACACTATCAAAACTGAATACAAATAAAGTAATGAACCTATGCAAAATTATACACTTTAAAATGGAGTAAAAGAGGACATGTTTAGTAAAGAACCTTTTATTAAAATTTATCACCCACTAGGGGTGACAACAGTACATGAAATGTATGAAATCAGTGAATATATAAAGAATATATAAAGTGGGAAATCTGAATGTGCGTGGATGTTGTGCAAATGATAAGAAAGAGATGATTGTGGATGTTATGAATGAGAAGAAGCTGGATGTCCTGGCTTTAAGTGAAACAAAGCTGAAGGGGGTGGGAGAGTTTCAGTGGAGAGGAATAAATGAGATTAGGTCAGGGGTTTCAAATAGAGTTAGAGCTAAAGAAGGAGTAGCAATAATGTTGAAGGATAAGATATGGCAGGAAAAGAGGGACTATAAATGTATTAATTCAAGGATTATGTGGAGTAAAATAAAGGTTGGATGCGAAAAGTGGATTATAGTAAGTGTATATGCACCTGGAGAAGAGAGAAGTGTAGAGGAGAGAGAGAGATTTTGGGAAATGTTGAGTGAATTCGTGGGGAGTTTTGAACCAAGTGTGAGAGTACTTGTGGTTGGGGATTTCAATGCTAAAGTGGGTAAAAATGTTGTGGAGTAGTAGGTAAATTTGGGGTGCCAGGGGTAAATGTAAATGGGGAGCCTTTAATTGAGCTATGTGTAGAAAGAGATTTGGTAATAAGTAATACATATTTTATGAAAAAGGGGATAAATAAATATACAAAGTATGATGTAGGACATAATGAAAGTAGTTTGTTAGATTATGTATTGGTGGATAAAAGGTTAATGGGTAGGCTCCAGGATGTACATGTTTATAGAGGGGCAATTGATATATCGGATCATTATTTAGTTGTAGCTACAGTTAGAGTAAGAGGTAGATGGGACAAGAGGAAGGCGGCAACAACAAGTAGGAGGGAAGTGAAAGTGCATAAACTAAGGGAGGAGGAAGTTCGGGTGAGATATAAGCAACTATTGGCAGAAAGGTGGGCTAGTGTAAAGATGAGTAGTGGGGGGGTTGAAGAGGGTTGGATGAGTTTTAAAAATGCAGTATTAGAATATGGGGCAGAAGTTTGTGGTTATAGGAGGGTGGGGGCAGGAGGAAAGAGGAGTGATTGGTGGAATGATGAAGTAAAGGGTGTGATAAAAGAGAAAAAGTTACCTTATGAGAGGTTTTTACAAAGCAGAAGTGTTATAAGAAGAGCAGAGTATATGGAGAGTAAAAGAAAGGTGAAGAGAGTGGTGAGAGAGTGCAAAAGGAGAGCAGATGATAGAGTGGGAGAGGCACTGTCAAGAAATTTGAATGAAAATAAGAAAAAATTTTGGAGAGAGTTAAACAAGTTAAGAAAGCCTAGGGAATGTATGGATTTGTCAGTTAAAAACAGAGTAGGGGAGTTAGTAGATGGGGAGAGGAAGGTATTAGGTAGATGGCGAGAATATTTTGAGGAACTTTTAAATGTTGAGGAAGAAAGGGAGGCGGTAATTTCATGCACTCTCCAGGGAGGTATACCATCTTTTAGGAGTGAAGAAGAGCAGAATGTAAGTGTGGGGGAGGTACGTGAGGCATTACGTAGAATGAAAGGGGGTAAAGCAGCTGAAACTGATGGGATCATGACAGAAATGTTAAAAGCAGGGGAGGATATAGTGTTGGAGTGGTTGGTACTTTTGTTTAATAAATGTATGAAAGAGGGGAGGGTACCTAGGGATTGGCAGAGAGCATGTATAGTCCCTTTATATAAAGGGAAGGGAGACAAAAGAGATTGTAAAAATTATAGAGGAAGAAGTTTATTGAGTATACCAGGAAAAGTGTACGGTAGGGTTACTATTGAAAGAATTAGAGGTAAGACAGAATGTAGGATTGTGGATGAGCAAGGAGGTTTCAGAGTGGGAGGGGATGTGTAGATCAAGTGTTTACATTGAAGCAATATGTGAACAGTATTTAGATAAAGGTAGGGAAGTTTTTATTGCATTTATGGATTTAGAAAAGGCATATGATAGAGTGGATAGGAGAGCAATGTGGCAGATGTTGCAAGTATATGGAATAGGTGGTAAGTTTACTAAATGCTGTAAAGAGCCCATACCCCGGGTGGGATTGAACCCGTGGTCATAGAGTCTCAAAACTCCAGCCCGTCGCGTTAGCCACTAGACCAGCTAGCCACAATAAGATTCATTTTATTGTGGCTAGCTGGTCTAGTGGCTAACGCGACGGGCTGGAGTTTTGAGACTCTATGACCGCGGGTTCAATCCCAGCCGGGGGTATGGTTTATTTGCAATCGTGTCATTACGATTTCTTGAGTCATGCTGTAAAGAGGTTTTAAAGAGTATAGTGAGCTCAGGTTAGGGTGTGTAGAAGAGAGGGAGACTACTTCCCAGTATAAGTAGGTCCTAGACAGGGATGTGTAATGTCACCATGGTTGTTTAATATATTTATAGATGGGGTTGTAAAAGAAGTAAATGCTAGGGTGTTCGGGAGAGGGGTGGGATTAAATTATGGGGAATCAAATACAAAATGGGAATTGACATACTTTTTGCTGATGATACTGTGCTTATGGGAGATTCTAAAGAAAAATTGCAAAGGTTAGTGGATGAGTTTGGGAGTGTGTATAAAGGTAGAAAGTTGAAAGTGAACAGAGAAAAGAGTAAGGTGATGAGGATATCAAATGATTTAGATAAAGAAAAATTGGATAACAAATTGGGGAGGAGGAGTATGGAAGAAGTGAATGTTTTCAGATACTTGGGAGTTGATGTGTTGGCGGATGGATTTATGAAGGATGAGGTTAATCATAGAATTGATGAAGGAAAAAAGGTGAGTGGTGCATTGAGGTATATGTGGAGTCAAAAAACATTATCTGTGGAGGCAAAGAAGAGAATGTATGAAAGTATAGTAGTACCAACACTCTTATATGGGTGTGAAGGTTGGGTTGTGAATGCAGCAGCAAGGAGGCGGTTGGAGGCAGTGGAGATGTCCTGTCTAAGGGGAATGTGTGGTGTAAATATTATGCAGAAAATTCGGAGTGTGGAAATTAGGAGAAGGTGTGGAGTTAATAAAAGTATTAGTCAGAGGGCTGAAGAGGGGTTGTTGAGGTGGTTTGATCATTTAGAGAGAATGGGTCAAGGTAGAATGGCATGGAGAGCATTTAAATCTATAGGAGAAGGAAGGCGGGGTAGGGGTCGTCCTCGAAAAGGTTGGAAGGAAGGGGTAAGGGAGGTTTTGTGGACGAGGGGCTTGGATTTCCACAGGCGTGCATGAGCGTGTTCAATAGGAGTGAATGGAGACGAATGGTATTTGGGACTTGACGATCTGTTGGAGTGTGAGCAGGGTAATATTTAGTGAAGGGATTCAGGGAAACCTGTTATTTTTATATAGCCGGACTTGAGTCCTGGAAATGGGAAGTACAATGCCTGCACTCTAAAGGAGGGGTTTTGGGATATTAGCAGTTTGGAGGGATATGTTGTGTATCTTTATACGTATATGCTTCTAAACTGCTGTGTTCTGAGCACCTCTGCGAAAACAATGATTATGTGTGAGTGAGGTGAAAGTGTTGAATGATGATGAAAGTACAGTGGACCCCCGCATAACGATATTAATCCGTTCATGAGAGCTCATTGTTATGCGAAATTATCGTTATGCATATGAATTTTCCCCAAAAGAAATAATGGAAATCAAATTAATCCGTGCAAGACACCCAAAAGTATGAAAAAAAATTTTTACCACATGAAATATACATTTTCCTACACACAAAGAGAAGGATACATGCACAATAGTAGAGTAGTACATGCACAGTATATATTGTGCATGTACTACTCTACTAAATGAAGAATAAATGACACTTACCTTTATTGAAGATGCAGCAATGACTGATGAGACACTGTGTCCTGGGAGTGCCTTTTCCTCCTGAGTACTGTAGGTCCTGTTTGGCATTTTCTTCCAGAACAGGCCTTATCACACTGTGAATGCCACTACGATTCTTAAATCTCTCAAACCAAAATTTGCTGGCTTTAAATTCACCAATATGAGCACTAGTTCCAGGTGTTTTTCCCTGTTCACCTGGGTGTTAGTCGACTGGTGTGGGTTGCATCCTTGGAGACAAGATTAAGGACCCCAATGGAAATAAGTTAGACAGTCTTCGATGACAATGACTTTTTTGGGTTATCCTGGGTGGCTAACCCTCTGGGGTTAATTGTTTCTTGGTATTCTCAATAAGCCACACCAACAACAGTGTTACAGGAGCAGCAGCAGCAGCTGACAGTGCTACAGCAGCAGTTGACAGTGCAGCAGCAGCAGCAGCTGACAGTGCTACAGCAGCAGCAGACAATGCTACAGCAGCAGCAGACGGTACTACAACAGCAGCAGCAGCAGCAGCAGCTGACGGTGGTACAGCAGCAGCAGCAGCTGACGGTGCAGCAGCAGCCAGCCCGCAGCTGACATGCAAGCAGCAGCAGCAGCTGACAGTGCAGCAGCAGCAGCAGCAGACGATGCTACAGCAGCAGCAGACGATGCTACAGCAGCAGCAGACAATGCTACAGCAGCAGCAGACGGTACTACAGCAGCAGCAGCAGCAGACGGTACTACAGCAGCAGCAGCAGCTGATGGTGGTACAGCAGCAGCAGTAGCTGACGGTACTACAGCAACAGCAGCAGCAGCTGACAGTGCTACAGCAGCAGCAGCAGCTGACAGTGCAGCAGCAGCAGCAGCTGACAGTATCATAGGGGTTCTTAAATGGAGATATTGAGGGTTGAAGGTAGACACACTTGTTGGATGGTAACATATATTGTCAGACTGAGATGAAGAGGAATGGAGCCCAGCCTCTGCCTGTCCTCGCCTGTAGGTCTACCGAGGTTCACCCCAGCCAGCTACCTCAAGTCAGCTACTCGCCCAAGCCCCTACCAGCTTCTACATTATTCACTGGTCAGTCTCTTTGTA